AAACCGGAAGTGGCGCTGTAGCTCAAGTGGTAGAGTGCTCGCTTTGAGCTGAAGAGCTGAGGGACAGCGCCCAGGCCCAGAGTTCAAGCCCGACGACCGACAAAAAAAAAAAAAAAAGATAAAAGACTTTTGTGTGATCTCCTGTAATCCTGGCTACTTGGAAAGAGGTAGAGATCTGAGATCTCAAGTTGTCAGCTTTACATCAGCCTGGACAGGAAAGTCTTTCAGACCCTTATCTACAAATAACTACCAGAAGAAAAAAAAAAAAAACCCAGAAGCAGATCTGTGGCTCAAGTGGTAGAGTGCTGCTCCCCTTGAGCAAAAAAGCTACAGCACCCAGGCCTTGAGTTCAAGCGCCAGGACCTGCACAAACAAAACAAACTGACTTGGTCAGTGGAAAGATATCAACCATTTCCTTTTTTTTTTGACCAGTCCTGGGGCTGTCCTGAGCTTTTGCTCAAGGTTAGTGCTCTAAGAGCCACAGAGCTACTTCTGGCTTTTTCTGTGTATGTGGTACTGAGGAATTAACCCCAGGGCCTCATGCATGCTAGGCAAGTCACGTACCACTAAATCACATTGCCATCCTTTCTTTTTAAGTCTCATGTAACACTCCAAGGTTTATTTAAATGAATTTCTGTTCTTGACTTATATTCATTTGTTAGTCATCCATAAGATTGATAGTTTAAACATATTTATAAGATGATTTCTTTGTTGCTTTGTATGTCCCTCCGCCACGATAAAACCCCTGCTTTCACTGTATTTGATGTTGAGGGGAAGGGAAAAAAACAAATGGTTTAAATAGGGATACAGGTGGACCCATTGCAACAACAAGATGTACAAGTCGTTATGTTGAAAAACGAACTTTACAACTTTGGTGGGGGGTGGCGTGCGGGAGTTGGGGGAGGGGGGATGGGAAGGGATAGGAAGGGGAAACAAAGGAGGAGGCTACAATGCTTGATAAGAAATGTATCATTATCTTGCCCATGTAATTGTAGCTCCTCTGTACAGTATTTTCACAATTAAAAAAATAAAAAAAATTGGCTCTGGAGATAAGGACAACATCGATGAATAAACTTTATGCAATGCTTAAAAAAAAAAAGATCGATAGTTTATGGCTATGGAGTGTGTTTTCCTCTTTTGTTGTTCTTTCCTGGTACTGAGTTTGAACTCAAAGCCCCGTTCTTGCTAGGCTTTTTCTATTTGAGGCTGGTGCTCTAGCCCTTGAGCCGTAGCTCCACTTCCAGCTTTTTGCTCATTAATGGAAGTAAGAGTCTCACAGAGTTTTTTTGGGCTTTCAACTCAGATCTTCATACCTCAGCCTGCTGATTTAGATTACAGGCAAATGCAAGCCAGTTAAGTAAAGCTTTCTCTTTAGCCTATCTGTAGGTTAGAAAAGATCTGAAGATAGCACTGAGATCCGTTGTCTCAAGCAGGAGGTGAGCCACACAGTCACTCTTAACTTTTTTTTTTTTGGGTCGATCATGGGGCCCGAACCCTGGGCCTGGGCGCTGTCCCTCAGCTCTTCAGCTCAAGGCTAGCACTCTACCACTTGAGCCACTGAGCTACAGCACCACTTCCAGCTTTTTCTGCTTATATGGTGCTGAGAAATCGAACCCAGGGCCTCATGCATGCAAGGCAAGCACTCTACCACTGAGCCACCTTCCCAGCCCTCACCCTCAACTTTATGTGGTGGTTGTTTTGGTCCTAGAGATGGAACCCAAGGCTTTAAGCACATGCTAAGCATGTACCCCACCACCGAGCCCCCTCTTACACAAACACACACATTTTTACACACTCCTCCCCATCTTGGCCACATTCATCTCAGGAGCAGCCTCCTTTTCTGGGGAACAAAGGTAATTTCCCAGCCCTGCTTATCAGGAGCCCTTGTGTGAGACTTTCTAATGAAAGTCGGTGATAAGAAAGTAAAGTCAACACATTTCCTGGGGCAGCAGCGCAGTAAGGGGCTGGGGAAAAGAAAAAAACAAAAACAAGCAACCAAACCAGGAAAACCCTGACTTTTGGGACCCACCAGCATCTCACCTACAACATTCCTTCCCTTCAAAAGTTCCTTTTAGGGCTGGGAAGTTGGCTCAGTGGTAGAGCGCTTGCCTTGCATGCCTGAGGCCCTGGGTTCGATTCCTCAGCACCACATAAGCAAAAAGAAAAAA